GTAGTAGAAAGAGTGTGATGGGTTTCTTTAGCAATAACCCCCATTAGAAACTCTCATCACATTTGTGTGTTTCTAAGTGGTCCATTTTTAAATTTAATCAAAAAACACAATTATTTTTTTTCTTTTTTTTAGAAAGAAAACAAAATAAAAACACTATTATTTTCTATAAAAAACTTGAGATAGGATCTCTTTCGCTCCACCCTTCTCTAAACAAAAAAACTCTTCTCTCTCTCAAACAAAAACACTCTTCTCTCTCTCAAACAAAAACACATTCCTCTCTAAATAAACCTGAGATATAATCTATTTCGCTCCATCCTACCGGCAAACAAAAACACACTGCTCTCACTTTTCATTTATCCTCTCAAAGCAAAGTCGAATCTCTTTCGCTCATAGAATGTCAACTTCCTTTCCGTTGACGCTATCAGCACCTTTTACTCAAACGTATCGCCGTCAGATTTCCAAGCGTCGTCCGCTCTCAGTTTCATGCGTCACAGACAAACCCCAACTCGGCGCAGAAATCTTTGTCGAATCGCTTGAGCGACATGGTATAGATACCGTGTTCGCTTATCCAGGAGGAGCGTCAATGCARATACACCAAGCCATTAATGGCTCAAAAATCAAAAATATTCTACCTAGGCATGAGCAAGGAGGTGTATTCGCAGTGGAGGGATACGCTCGTGTTACCTTTAAAAATATACGCTCGTGTTACGGGGAAACCCGATGTCTGTATATTTTTAAAGGAAACACGAGCGTATCCCTCCGCTGCAAATACAGCTCCTTGCTCGTGCCTAAGTAGAATATTTTTGATTTTTGAGCCATTAATGGCTTGGTGTATYTGCATTGACGCTCCTCCTGGATAAGCGAACACGGTATCTATACCATGTCGCTCAAGCGATTCGACAAAGATTTCTGCGCCGAGTTGGGGTTTGTCTGTGGCGCATGAAACTGAGAGCGGACGACGCTTGGAAATCTGACGGCGATACGTTTGAGTAAAAGGTGCTGATAGCGTCAACGGAAAGGAAGTTGCCAATCTATGAGCGAGAGAGATTCGACTTTGCTTTGAGAGAATAAATAAAAAGTGGGAGGAGTGTGTTTTTGTTTGCTGGTAGGATGGAGCAAAAGAGATTCTGTCTCAAGCTTATTTAGAGAGGAATGTGTTTTTGTTTGAGAGAGAGAGGAGTGTTTTTGTTTGAGAGAGAGAAAGGAGAGTTTTTGTTTGAGAGAAAGGTGGAGCTAAAGAGATCCTATCTCAAGCTTATTTATAGAAAATAATTGTGTTTTTGGTTTTTTTTCAAAAAAGAAAGAAAGAAGATACTTGTGTTTTTCGATTAAATTTAAAAATGGACCACTTAGAAACATACAAATGTAATGAGAGTTTATAATGGAGGTTGTTGCTAAAGAAACCCATCACACTCTTTCTCCTACTTTTTTTTTTAATTTTTATTTATTCTTTGGTTAAGAAACCTAATGGGTTTCTATTGAAATAGATGATCTTACTTATCGAACCTTTACGGTTTTTTTTCTTTGGTTAATGTTTATTCTTCAAAGAAATTGTGTTAAAACTTTAGAGGCTCGGTGCTTTCCTTACACCAAAAATATTAAAATTACAACAAACGATTTACAAACGAAATTCTACAAATATAAATATACGACTATAATATAACCAATCAGGCAATCACCTTCTTCTTTTTTTTGCAAAGTTTTAACAAGCATTATAAAAAAAGAGGAATTGTGTGCTAGAAACCGATGTATTTAAATAAGATCGGTTGTTCCTTAAAACGATATAGGATATGAATTAGAATTATATTTAATTACACTTTATATATGTTTTTTCTTCACTTTCAAAAACGATACACATTTTAAAAAATTGAATTTAAATATTTAAAATTAATTATTTTGTTTAAGTATTTAAAAAATTCGTTTAAATGTACTAAAATCTATTATTTTAATTAAATTTATCAATTGTTATTGTTTTGTCATATTTAATCATTCCTAAAGCAAGTTTCGTTAACATGTTGTATTAAGACTCTGCAGAGACAAACTCATTGCCTCCATGGAGTCATCAAATGCATTTGATCTTGTCGAGCTTGCAGATATTCACTCGGACAAGATCCTCAATGATGCTGTTTCTCAGTTTATGAAGACACACATGTAAGAAATCTCTTTATCCAGAAAGTTTACCTTGATCGTGGAGAAAAAAACCGAAGATAAAGGATCCGATTAGATGAAGACACCTAATCGCCTAATCCTCTCTTAATTTGTTTTTTCTTTAGATGTTAGGGTTGTTACCAAAATAAGGAAAACAAACAAAAAATGTTACCTTCACCATATATATCTTGTTGAATTTTGTTAGAGCAACTCCAACGGGACTCCATAACACCAAATTTGGTGTAGTTTCATCTCCAATGAAATTGCAAATTTTACACCAAATATGTTTTTCTGGTGTTTTATGAACAGTGTCATACTATATTCGGTGACACACTATTCATAAAACACTAAAAATTAAATTATTATTGTATTTATATGTTTTGTTTTATAATATAATAAAATTATTGTTTACCAACTAAAAATATGTATATGGTCAATAA